TATTCACGAATCCAATATAAACGAGGAAGGTCTGTATAATATCATATTCATTCACCTGAAATCAGAATGATTTTAATACAGGCTGTGGCATGATCAGTTTTAGTTGGCCTCTGAATGATTGGACAGGGTTTCAAAGATTTCAAGATTTTCATTTTTTTCACTCGTGTGCATTAAGTCATCTGAGTAATAATAGAAAAGAATCTTTCTTCTGTAAGCAGAAATTACAAAAGTGTTTGCAAACAAGAATTATGTTATTTTTATTGAATGGGGTGTGGAGAAACTGGGTTCATCGACAGCCGAGATCTAGGGTTTCAAAAAAGCATGTAGATAGAATAAGGGGGTATAAAGATAAATAAAGAACGACGAACACTCTAACAGGAAAATACTTTTTGTGTCACCTCAGAATTCGTCTCATCGTGATCTTTTGCGATCGCCTTTTATCCGACATCGTGCGTCTTGTGTTCGTAATATTTTTTTTCGAACATTTTCTAATTCTTCTTAAAACCCCTTCAACCAATTTCATTGACATTTGTAGAAACCCTCCAGGTACAAAGGTGAACCGAAAATGTAATTTAGTACGGCTACGATCACTTAGGTGTATGAGGAGTGGGACCAAAAGGGGCCATACTGACTTAATAAATATTCAATATTCTTCTCAACACTCATGTACCGTAGAATACGAATACACTCTTCATGGAGGGAAGCGTCTTAAGGTGTTTTACCAAAATTGTGATTTCCATGGCCCCAGGGACTCACGATTTCCCCTGTTGAGAGGGTACAGTTTAATTTAGTTTACGTGGGAAACTTACAATCTTCTTATCAACACCTTTATAAAATTATGGTAGAATCAAATGATTTTCATGGATGAAAGAATCTTGAAGTGTTTTACTAATATAGGAAATTTCATGACATCGAGAGAGGAATAATGTTTGTTGTTGTTTGTTTAGGATTATAATTTTTTAACATAAAATGGAAATTTTAACACCTGGTTAGAATAATTACTATAGAATGCCAGTTTGATGATATGCAACATTGAAACTGGCTACCCTCCAGGAGCTAATGAGTGGAGCCAAAAGGTTTAAATTGATTCAAATACCAAAAATATTCGTCTCGAGGCCTAACTACGGTATAATCGGATACTCTTCATGGACGGATCTGTCTAATGGTGATTTACCAATGGTATGAATTACATGATCCAATGGTCTCACATTTCCCCCTAGGGGTTGGGTAACTGCTTATAGTTCATAAAGGAAAATACGACGGCTGATTGATGAATCATGAGCCTTGTATTGAAGAAGTTAAGCAGGGATGTCTTTTTTCAGCTGGACTATTCCATGGTTATTTAAGATTGTGTACCCGAAGACTGGTGTCATTAGGTCAGTTTATGCCGAAGAGGTAGCTCTTTAAAGCAACCAAGACAAGTGACTTTTGCAAAATAGACAAAATCACTAAAAGAGCAGTAATTCAATATATGCATAAGAAAAGGTCTAGCACCATAATGATATGGTAGCAACACTAGGAATATGATGTCCCTTCATATGCTACAGTGAAAAGGTGGGTGGCAGAATTTAAGCGACAGCCTTGTGGATGACACCCGCCTTGGAAAGCTTGTCGCTGTTGCAACCCCAGAAATGGTCAATAAAGTCAATGATATTGTAATGGCTGACAGGCGAATTACAGAGAGAGATATCGCCAGTAAAGTACAGATTTCACAGGAAAAAAATACATTCCATTCTTACAGAAGATCTTGCCCCTTAGTTACCAAGACTTCTGACAGTTGATCAGAGGCAAATCCTGCTTTCCGTAGAGGTTTGTGACTATGGCCAAACAACAGTCTAAACAATGGAAGGACCCTGGTTCACCTCCGCCAAAGGCTGTTCCATCAGCTGGAAAGGCTATGGCCTCGGTTTTGGAGGATACTCATGGTATTCTGATGGTAGATTATCTGCAAAAGGGACAAACAACTAATGGCACATATCATGCATCACTTCTTAAGCAGTTACGAGAAAAAAATAAACTAAAGCGCCGCTGAAAACTCAGTAAAGATGTAATGTTCTACCAGGACAATGGCCCCGTTCAAAAGTCTGTCATTCCCGTGGCTGCCATTAACGATTGAGGCTTTGAATTGATTGAGCATCCGCCTTATTCGTCCGATCTCGCTCCGTCAGACTTTCATATATTTTCAAAATTGTAAAAGGCCATTTCCGGTACCAAATTTCGGTCGGATAATGACGTCATACATAGAGTAGGCGACTTTCTGAACGGTAGAACAGGATTTCTATAAAAGTGACGTTGTGGCACGTTAACATCGCTGGCAAAAGCGTATAGATACTAAAGGGGATTATGTTGAAAACTAATGCAACATTTCCGCCAAAATCAAACCCTTAAATATGGGGCTCACAACTAATAAACCAGACCTCGTTCATGTTCGTTTTTTTAGGATTCTTTGTTTAAGTGCCTGTTGAGATATATTAAACTTGGTAAGCTTAACATGTTTAAGCACATATTAACCTTGACTAGCCTCCAGAAGCTGATGGGCTGGACCAAAAGCAGTCGATTTGACTCCAATTTTAAAAACCTTCTCAAGATCTAGATTTGGTAGAATCAAATGCTCTTCAAGGATGGAAGGGTCTTAAGGTGTTTAACCAAAAGTTTGGGTTTCATGACCCCACAAGATACAATTTACTATAGGCTGTATATGAAAACTACATTTTGAGCACAATTTCATTTATAAGTTAAAATTCTTATTTACATGGGATGACAGTAAATAGTGTGTTCATTTTATATTGGTATTACATGTAGAGCGTATTTCGTGTCACTTTGATAAGTTTTACAAAACCATAGACATCAGGTGACCGATAAGAGCTATGGGTATGATTCAACTCTCTAGTGATACTGTAATATATACCTGTATTAATGGATATATAACATCCACCGTGATCTGTACAAAACTGGTTACTATTGTGACTTCTTGTTTCACATATTAGTTGTTACTGAATGAAATTAAAAATCATAAATTCGTGAGAAGACGAAACTGTTGCGGAATATCTGTTATGAAAAACAATCCGAATATAGGCAGGGCCATATAACATGATAAACATAATAATTCTGGATTTTTAACAACTAGAATCTCCAATTACACCAAATTATGCATTAAATTCTATGTATATTTATACCTCGTGTCTCGTGGAAGATTGATGGCAGTAACCTGAAGAAAAGATGAACACCTGAAGCAGTAACAAAACACATCAATAATAACCCTATTTAATGCGGACAGGTAATTATGGTAATTAATTTCTTGTCATTCTGCGTTAGGGTTAACGCCTGTTCGTCCTGTTCAACCACACACACCAGCCACAAACAAAACCACAACGTCACAATCTCCTTGTTTATCGAGATCCGGTTATATTTTCAAAGGGAAATAGATCAATTCAGTGTGTTGTTTTGTAACTTCACGTATTGTTTGTGCTACTCGCCATACATCTCAACGGGCACGTCATCAGTTATTTGGCGCACCTTGTGTTTATTGGGCATCATTCGTACTCTTGAGAAAACATTCTGCTGGTGTCATTATTCAGGTATTACACCTAGCAAATCTGAATAATCACTTTACTGTTGTAAATATCAAAGTGAAAAGAATTCAGCTGGCGAATCTAAATAGTTATCCAATACATGCATAAGAATCAATAAGAATTTAAAGTAAACACGAAAACTGTTTAAGAATATGAAGATTATCTGATCAGTCTGCTAGTAGCTTGAGATAGATCCACAGCTGTGATGCGTTATATGCTTGGCTAAATCAATCCGTTAAGGTGTACAAAACATTGGTACGTTCCGATTACCTACTACCAGGACAACCCACAATGAACACGCGTTGAACCAGAGACTTGTATATTTAAACCAGATCTCACACACAGCATAGAGAAGTCATAACTCTCCATAAAATAGAACAATAGGACTAATTCTTTGTTATCGTAAATTTCATTTTCTAACGACTAAAGTTTATTTTGAATTGAATTATATCTGTTGATTCCATCATCATTTTGTCCTCGTCTCGATTTCAATCTCTTTGTATGACCAACCCGATAAAGACTATTATACCGTGTTTGGTCATTTTAACGTCATTGTAAGAGGAACGATGAGACCATAGGTAAAATGCAAAGCGGGCACGGGTCAAGTCGATACAATTTCTTATATAATTCCCCAACACAACGAGATACAAATGTATTCTCTGAATATATCCTTGCTCTGAATACATTTGGTTACTAACGTAGTGTACACAATGGCAGATTGTACTATAATTCGTCATGATGTCCGTGGAGTGTTGCAAGGCATAGAAAGTACAAAACATGTGTTATTGACAACAGGCAGCAGTGTTTTTAATCGTAAACAGGGCTAACCTACTTCCACCAGTAAGGCGCCTACGTCACTTTAAACAATATATTGATCGGGATTTCAGCAGCTTTACAGCGTAAACATGATTACAAAAAACTCGGTGAACTCCGCCTTTTACCGTTAAGTAGTGTTGATACGCGGTATAAATCAATGTCATGCCTGAAGTGGGTCCCGCCTTGCTCGCAGAACAGACACCGTACGTGCCGTCGTTGTCTGTTACAGGGTCACCTTGTTCAGTTTTTTACCATTTAGTTAAGTGCTAGTAGACGCATGCACAGTATGCGCATATTAGAATAAACAATTATGCAAAAGAAACATTAATGTGTATCCATGTGATCGGGCAAGAACCATCTTGTCAAAATAAAGACAATGTTCCGAAGAAGCGCGCGACGCAGGTCAGTGACCTTTAGTTCAGTACGGCCTGCCACCGACTGGGACCAGACAACTTCTCGATGTCTTAATCTGGCCTCTCTCACTTTGGCATATAATGCAGTCATCAATTCAGTGGTCAGCAGTTGACACTTCCTTGTAGAATAAACGAGTGCGGCGTTTCTAAAACCACTACTTCGATACACACCGAAATGTAAAATAAAACTTCCAAACCATTTGTAAACTTTTCTTCACATTTTTAATTTATAAAATAAAAATTAGCAACTTCATAGTTGTACAAAAACCATTTCTCCCTTTCAATCGATCACTTTTAACAAGAAAGCATGCAGCGTACTCCTCACTGCTGTTTAGAACATTCACTTCATATCACAATAGTTTTACGGGAATTTTGTCCATACTCCCATCAACATGTCAAATAACACCTTTCTCTCAGCTAGTAATCTACCGTACTGACAGAGTGGAATCATATTCCTGGACTCAAATCAATTGCAACTACTTTCAAAACACAATTACAAACAATTCTAAACGGATAACAAATTTACAGTTAATGAACATGGTATGGAATAACCTCTTTCCGAGGTACAACATCGCAGACGACCACAACCTTTTCTCGTACACAAGTAAACATTTGATGCAAAAATGAGTATATATCAGAATCACAATTCAGATCTCTTGAAATTGTCTTCTCGCATTGAACTCAACACTACAGAGATCGTTCCTTAAAGCAGCATATCATCATTTGTTCACTTCGAGAATATTCTCACAATGATTGCACGAGAGCGTTCTATGTCGGATTGTTCATGGCGTAGCAGTTTCATTGCTAGGACTCGGTTATGAAGTGTCAAGTTTCCTAAGGATTGTTGAAACCTGGACTGAACACTTCATGATACCAGAGACAAGTTACCAACTTGTGCTGGCGTTGATAATGGCGAGTGTTCAACAGTAATTACGGCGGCAGACTCGTCGTGAAGTAGAGGATTTAAGGACTTTTCATAATGTCCTCGATACTAAACCCGTATCTTCCTACTTGTCGAAATGGCCATTAGATGGCTTCTCTAGACCGCTTGACGAAGCACCTATGCTCCCGGTGTGTCCAGCGAAGTCGGGGACAGCGCTTCACTTTGAAGACCTGAGCAGATCATAGTGATCAAACATAATGTTTGTCGTAAGCTTGGTGACATTTAGTTGTTGTTCGTTAAAGGGTGGTCATTTGTAAGGTTTCCGAAACAAAGAATTGCCCTGCCGGTGATTCGGCACCGAGCCAAGTCATCGAACACTTGTGCTGCGTCCTCCGCAGGGAAAACACTGTAGCATGGCGGTGACACCGAGCCCTCCGATACGGCCGTCACCAGGTCCTGCAACTGGGCGAGCGAACCTTTTGGAATACCTACGATAGACTGTTGTTTGGCAGACAATGTGTTCAGGTTTATGCTCACTTCCGACATCGTGTTTCCGCCAACAAGGATAAGCCCTTCCTGTTGATAAAATGGATAGTTAAGTTGGATTCGACATAACGTAACTACTCATTGCGTAATATTAATGTCTCAAAATGCAATCTCTGCTTGTCAAATGAGGAGTGGAACAAAACCTACTTTTAACGTAAATGGAGTCTTATAACGAAAAAAATTGTCTATATATCGAATGATATGTAAAGACACTTACCCTATTGAGGATCTTCAGTGATCTTTGCATGGTGCGGGGTGAGCTGACAAAGTCCACGACGACGTCGACGCCGCCGCGGCAGGCATCAAGTGTTCTCTCTATGATGTATTGCTCGTGGTCCTCCTCGTTCCAGTGGATGATGTCGTAACAGCCATGATCATGAGCAGTCAATAATTTATCTATACTGTTGTCGGCAACAAACAGACGAATGTTGTTGGACTGAGATCCAACAAGGAACTGAGCCAGTTTCACGGCCCACAAACCTAGTCCGCCAGCACCAACTACTAGTACATTTACACACGCTGTAAAAGAAAAAGAAATCTCATAAGAATTGATATAAATTATGGTTGATTTTCTAATTACTTGCGAACTGCCTATAGCGATTCTACGGTTCTATTTGCTGAACAATCAAATTACCATTTCAACTGTTAATAAAACTTCAATTTAATGAAAACCATGATGGTGTCACAGAGATCACTCATACTTACATTTCACTTCTTGAAGCTTCTCTACATGAGGTTTGGCTTTCAATAGCGCACTGTATGCCGACAGGGCGCCACCTGGAAGCATCGCGGCGACCTCTAACGGGATGTTTTGTGGAATTTGAAGACAGTTCTGTACATCCTCTACTGCTAGGTATTCCGTGTAGCCAGAGTCTGCCATGTCCTCATCAGGGTAGATCACCACTTTATCTCCGGTTGTAAAATTGCTGTTCGGTAGGGATGCACAGACATCTTGGACTACGCCGGATATTTCCATACCTACAATACATCAACAACAAACAGGTTAAACAGTGTTCGAACAAATTTCTTTAGATGGGAATATAGTAGCAAGATGAACAAAATCTTAAAGCATATACAACAACAGAGGCACAAAAAACATGAAACACGTCACTTGAAGCAGTGACAACTGGGCGTGGCAAGGAATCGTTGTAGGAAGTTGGGTTCACGTTAGGAAAGTAATTTCATTCCTTTCTTAAAGTATTCAGCAAAAATATGTGCATATCAATATAGAATTAAATTATTTCAATTGCTTTTGAACTAGATTTCTCGTAAAATGCGTCATTCTAATATCTTATAGACCGCCCAATTGCCAAATCGTTTGAGTGCACACCTGGGTAAAGAGAGGTGTCGTGTATACCTGGTAGAGAAGGTCGGATCTGTTTTCTCCTCAGCATACCCTCAGAGTAGCATGCCCCGGCATAGCACACCTATAAAAAATCAATATCAAACACTTAGTTCACATTTTTCACAATTACTGTGGTAATCCTGATTACTTTTCAATCAATTTTTTCTTTCCTTTTTAAAGCAGTTAAAATTTTTGACTTCACGAGAACTAAAAATGACACAAGTGTACTTACTCTCACAAGAAGGCCTCCCTTTGGGATTTCGGGCATCGTGGATGAAGATGACGCGCTATCAAATGGCATAGCCAAAGATTCCAAAGCCCGCGGAACCAATATTTCATTCTGGTTCACTTCGTTGTCCAACATCTTGATAATCTGTGGAGAATGAAAGTGAAATTATACGTCTGAACAATCTCGTCGTGTTTAGTAAAATGCCAGTTTCCGGGAAAAGTATTCTTCTAGAAGGTCAATCAATCCAAAGTCAATGACTGGACTAACAGGACACGTGTTTATCTAAGAATAGATTGCAGTGAATAGAAACCCTGCTTATTTCATGTTTCGTCACATAGTTGATCATGCCCTGATCACGTATAGCGCGCATGCGCGTAGGCGTCGAAATCAGCTGATTACTGCGTGCACAAAGAATGACCGAGTAATGAGACATTGTACCGAGTTTAACAAAGACTAATTATCTTTGGTTGACTTATCAAGTGTTAATTTATTTTTCAAACATCTCTGAAACCATCCGACTTTTCCCCCCGACACGCATCACGGTTGAGATCATTTAAGTAGCCCCAAAGAAACGGCGTGCATACAAAACAGTAGTGTACAGTTTCTATATATTACATACATTGTAACTTAATAAGATAACGGCACGCGATATTGTATCAAAATAAATACAAAGTCAGACAGTATACTGTGTTCAGTAGCCGATGCCCTGCGAAAACACAGACCGACATTCGACTGACCTAGATATGTAAACAAAGTTTGCAGCATGAATTGACCTCGACAACACGGCGACGATGCCGCAACGTTTATGATAGATTTATCTTCTAACAATTTTTAAATATCATTTAAGAATATGATATTCCAAAAATGTTTACAATATTAAACCTCGTTTCATGAAATAAAAAAGAACATGTAATACAACAACTGAAATTTGAAAAAAAAAAATAATACTAAAAATTATCGAATGTGTAAAGAAATAATTTTTACTAATAACTGATATTTAACCATAAAATGTTATTGTTCAATGTATGCTCACCTCTTCGTTGGAATAATATCACTATACGTTAATCCGCAAGATTTTCAGAATAAAGAGTACGTGTTTTCTGTTCAGAATCCAAGTCAGTTATGATAATTATGGGGACGCCTCTAAGTTATAAACAACTTGGAAATCACCCTCTGTACACGTGAACATACACAACAAATCGGTCGTGGCATTGAGCTAAGAATAACACGGGTTAAAATCTCATTTTCAAATATGTCAGCACGACCGAATTTCAAAAGCCTGTCAATAATTGAGTTATGTACAAATCAATTTTCAATTTAATACAAAAGATCATTATAGGAATATTTCCAGCATTGAATTTTACAATATTGCGAAGGAGATAACAGTTATAACAGAAAAATATTGTTGTCGGAAAGGAGACATATTCGTCTTCCCTTCGGGTCTCTGAAGTCTAAAAATAGTTGCTGAGGTGAGGGTTGTCCATGCACTGATCAGCAGGCCAGCGCTGTGTCATGATGTGATACATTTCATCGCTGGCGTGTAATTTATGTTATGCTCTTCCCTTGGTTACTTGGATTGTACTGAATCACAGTCGATTTTACGTCATTTGACTTTAAATTGAATTAGTTTCATTCCGAATGTAAAGTCGACTTTAATCAGATATATTTCAAGTCCGTGGGGAAATAACGTACTGAGAACTAGAAGCAGAATATTCGGAGTAAGTAAAAAATTCGATCGAAATATTCCAGAATTTAGACTCATTTTTACCAGAAATCGCTACCTATGTGATCTGTATGATGAAAGTCATGTTAAAAGTTTCATTTCGCTTTTAACCCTGTACCGGTCGACGTAACTAAAATGCAGTCATGTGTGGTCAACGGATCTGGACGGAAGTAAAAAAGATTGTATTTTTCTTAGAGAACGTACTGTCCAAAACAGAGAGAGGGAAGGGATTTCCTATTCAAATGGGGATAACTCAATTCTAACTGAATACATGGGGTAACGGAAACTGGAGAGTGAGATACGGATGTTCCTTATCTTTATAAGACTTGGTTATGAGACACGGAACAACCGTTCATAATCGTGTTCAGTTGATGACTGGAACAGGGAAACATTTTGAAGACATACATTGAAATAATTATAATATATTACAATTACACTCCTTTAGTGGTAGTGATATTTTTAAGTTTTCACCTTTAAATATAAACGAGAACATCATTGTACTGGAAATTCTCGTTTTCCGATGTCTTCTTGAACGTAAGGCTGACTGAGTAATGAGGACAATCAGAAAAAAATAATGTATGTTGAAAAAATGTGTTTCATAACTTGTAAAAATTTCATATGTTGGTACTTTCCGTCGCTTTCAAAACATGCATTGATCACGCGTCAAGAATTCATCTAGCTGACAGTACTATAGATAGATATGTTGAAACAGTGAGGAAAACCATACGTAACTATGATGACACAGGAATTACGTCATTTACATATTATGTATTCAGTATCACTGAATATATGTACCATACAAATTATTTATAGGCTACCCAGCGTCACATTTTTCTACGTTACTATTACACGTATGTATTTTCGCTCATGTGTACAGCAATTGTACCCCACCCCCCACCCCCACCCCCACCCCAACCTCCACCCCTCTACCCACTCATTATACTGGTCGTTGATGGTTAAGTTTGGGGGACAGACTGATCAGGCAGTAGTTATCCATTCATTCGGAACTGATTCTAAAATTAAATGAGCCCAACACATCACAACGGTACGGGAGAGATGATGAAAAATACATAAGTATAAACGAGTTGTTTCCCTTGTAACTTTAAAATCTGTGGTAGTTGGCGAGTAACTCTTGAACGGAAATATTTTTTCTGTTTTTTCCCCATCAATAAATCTGTGTTCGCCTAAAAAAGGACAACTACGTTATCCTGTTTATTGTATTTTGAAGTTATACTAAGATAAGTACTGCAGTCTGATAATTTAATTTTCTACGATGCCATTCTAGATTTTCAATTTTGGTGTCTCGAGATATAATTTGGTATCTCAGGTAACGATTATCACTATCTCTAACTGCATACTTTGTAATTTCGCACTTAGATGGTTAGGAATATTGTCCTAGACTGCGTCTTCATATTCCAGAATATTGAGTTTAATAAATCATAAAAACTTTTGTTATAAGGAGTTTCTATTTTATTTGAATTTCAAAATTTCTTCATATAATTAGACGTTTCCAGACCGAATCTATTTTGATTGATCGAACATGCCATTCAATGTTTGTCGATAGACACATGATGTATAAAACTGTTATTTCAATATAGACCTCCATAACCAGATGTCGAAGCTTTAAGACTTTTACGTAAACTTTCGACTTCGTGTTGTTTTCCAACCGATTTTTTAATAGTAATAAAATCAGGCACGTTTTCCCCCCGAGTCAGTTCCGTACACTCCAATGTATTCAGCACCAAACGACCTCGATTACACAATTTAAAGTTCAAAACTCGAGCTTGTATTGAGGTTACGAAGTGCAGTGATTCAGGCAAAAGTTTGTTATTTCATAATGATATTGTCTCTCCGAGACACAACAGAACAACGAAAGTTACAACTAGGTGGAAACAATCCCGATTTAATCCCCGACATTTATTTGGTTATGATGCAATCCTACCAGTTTTCGCTCCCTTCGTATTATTTTATTACAAAATGTAACTATACCTACTCGTCTCTACAGAACGTCGAGATAACAAGGGTTTCAATGGTTCTTGTTATTACAAAATATAACTAGACCTGCTCGTCTCTACAGACCGTCGTGATAACACGAGTTTCAATGGTTCTTGTTATTACAAAATGTAACTAGACCTACTCGTCTCCACAGAACGTCGAGATAACACGAGTTTCAATGGTTCATGTTATTACAAAATGTAACTAGACCTGCTCGTCTCTACAGAACGTCGAGATAAAACGGGTTTCAATGGTTCTTGTTATTACAAAATGTAAATAGACCTACTCGTCTCTACAGACCGTCGTGATAACACGGGTTTCAATGGTTCATGTTATTACAAAATGTAACTAGACCTACTCGTCTCTACAGAACGTCGAGATAACACGCGTTTCAATGGTTCATGTTATTACAAAATGTAACTAGACCTGCTCGTCTCTACAGAACGTCGAGATAACACGAGTTTCAATGGTTCATGTTATTACAAAATGTAACTAGACCTACTCGTCTCTACAGAACGTCGAGATAACACGAGTTTCAATGGTTCATGTTATTACAAAATATAACTAGACCTACTCGTCTCTACAGAACGTCGAGATAACACGAGTTTCAATGGTTCATGTTATTACAAAATGTAACTAGACCTGCTCGTCTCTACAGAACGTCAAGATAAAACGGGTTTCAATGGTTCTTGTTATTACAAAATGTAAATAGACCTACTCGTCTCTACAGACCGTCGTGATAACACGGGTTTCAATGGTTCATGTTATTACAAAATGTAACTAGACCTACTCGTCTCTACAGGACGTCGAGATAACAAGGGTTTTGAATGGTTCATGTTATTACAAAATGTAAATAGACCTACTCGTCTCTACAGACCGTCGTGATAACACGGGTTTCAATGGTTCATGTTATTACAAAATGTAACTAGACCTACTCGTCTCTACAGAACGTCGAGATAACACGAGTTTCAATGGTTCATGTTATTACAAAATGTAACTAGACCTGCTCGTCTCTACAGAACGTCAAGATAAAACGGGTTTCAATGGTTCTTGTTATTACAAAATGTAAATAGACCTACTCGTCTCTACAGACCGTCGTGATAACAAGGGTTTCAATGGTTCATGTTATTACAAAATGTAACTAGACCTACTCGTCTCTACAGGACGTCGAGATAACACGCGTTTCAATGGTTCATGTTAATATGAAATGTAACTTGTCTCTACAAAACGCCGAGATAACATGGGTTTCAATAGTACATGTTATTACAAAATATAACTAGATCTGCTTGTCTCTACAGAACGTCGAAATAACACGGGCTTCAATGGTACATGTTATTACAAAATATAACTAGATCTACTCGTCTCTACAGAACGTCGAGATAAAACGGGTTTCAATAGTTCATGTTAATATGAAATGTTATTAGTCTCCACAGGACGTCGAGATAACATGGGTTTCAATAGTACATGTTATTACAAAATATAACTAGATCTGCTTGTCTCTACAGAACGTCGAAATAACACGGGCTTCAATGGTACATGTTATTACAAAATATAACTAGATCTACTCGTCTCTACAGAACGTCAAGATAAAACGGGTTTCAATGGTTCATGTTATTACAAAATGTAAATAGACCTACTCGTCTCTACAGACCGTCGTGATAACACGGGTTTCAATGGTTCATGTTATTACAAAATGTAACTAGACCTACTCGTCTCTACAGGACGTCGAGATAACACGCGTTTCAATGGTTCATGTTAATATGAAATGTAACTAGTCTCTACAGAACATTGAGATAACAATGGTTTCATTGGTTCATGTTATTACAGAATGTAACAAGATCTGTTCATCTCTACAGAACGTCGAGATAACACGGGTTTCAATGGTTCATGTTAATATGAAATGTTATTAGTCTCCACAGGACGTCGAGATAACAAGGGTTTTGAATGGTTCATGTTATTACAGAATGTAACAAGATCTGTTCATCTCTACAGAACGTCGAGATAACACGGGTTTCAATGGTTCATGTTAATATGAAATGTTATTAGTCTCCACAGGACGTCGAGATAACAAGGGTTTTGAATGGTTCATGTTATTACAAAAGGTAACTAGACCTAATCGTCTCTACAAACCGTCGAGATAACACGAGTCTCAATGGTACATGTTATTACAAAATGTAACTAGATCTACTCGTCTCTACAGAACGTCGAGATAAAACGGGTTTCAATGGTTCATGTTAATATGAAATGTTATTAGTCTCCACAGGACGTCGAGATAACAAGGGTTTCAATGGTTCATGTTAATATGAAATTTAACTAGTCTCTACAGAACATCGAGATAACATTGGTTTCATTGGTTCATGTTATTACAGAATATAACTAGATCTGCTCGTCTCTACA